GGGTTTAAAAACTCTGATAAAAAAAATCTTGTTCTGGGTATAAATAAATCTTATTTTGTCAATGATTTGGACACATTTTGAAGTTTTTAAAGCCAGATACTGTTTTCAATGTTTACACTTGACTTTTTGATCGTTTGTCATGATCTAAGCAAGTTATAAGAAAGTTAGTTAGAGCACAGATTACATGCTTGAGCATGAGAACGGTTTCATGAATACGGGTCCTGGTGTAGCCCCACCGAGGTTTTACATCAGAACACTGTTGTTTTTTTTTGTTTTTTTTCATCTCTGCTGTTTAATTTAATGAAAAGTAGTGTAGTCTTTTCCTTAACACAACAACTACACGGACAATTTGTGAAGGACGGTGGTTAACACTCACTTGGTAATTGATAATACTAGTTTCGATTCAAATATGAAAAACAAAAAAACTGTTTTCATTGAGGTTCCGACAGGTATGTTTTTATTTCAAAATAGTTACAGTCATGAATGATGAAAAATAGTTTTTAACATAAAGTTACATTTTTTGACAGACGAACGTGAATCCGTAAGTATTCGTTTCATTTTGTCATTACATACCTAAACAGAAAAACCAGGTCCAAAAATTTCTTGCGAAAATACATCTTGCAAATCAATATTTATTGCGGTATGCAGATGAGTAAATGCAGTTAACTTGAGCTTACCTGCAATAAAGAACATCCCAGTTGCAACAGACTGAATTAGTGAAGTTTCCGCTTTAGTTTTACCAAACTCTTCCAGGAAAGCTACGTTTAGTACAGTCATGCTGAAAGGCAATCCGGTACACAGAAATAGTTCAAAGAAACCAGCAATCAAAACAGCCCACTTCCGGTGTGATACTTCTCCTTTACCTTTGTCTTTTTCAGGCTTATACTGATAGCTGTCAAAAAAAAATGTACAAAACTGATTGCGGTTTGTAAAACATTAATAACTGCTTAATAAATCAATAAAAATATTAAAATGAAAGTATGTTAATTTATTCAAAATTGTTTATAGTGGTCAGGTTATAAGGTGATAAGTGATAAGTCCAGTAGATCGCATGTAAATTGAATAGAAGGCGAAATCTGTCCACATTTATACAGTGTGTTTCTTTGAATCGTTCATGACCATTTTATACCTTATTCTGATCAGCGGAAACAAGTTATTTTGCTTACGTGTGATCAGGTTAATAAATGCAATAGTTAAAGATTTGCTTCAGCCTTGGCTCACTCGGCTTGTGTCGGAGAATTTTCATCGTTCCACCAAATGTATATGTGAAACCATAACCATTTTCATCTCACCAACTTACTTTATGGCTGTCAAACATGTAACGAAGGTGTAAATATGGAAATTCTTAGCTCTATCCTAAAATATATAGTTAAAACTAAAAGATTTGTTGAATATCGAGTATAATACCAGGCAACTTGACACATTTTGAGTTAATATATATACACATGTACATATATTTGTAGATAATAACACTTATTTACAAAAACAACATCCATTCGTACAGGGGTGCATCTCTGGCTGGTTATCATGATATTGTTATGCTTTCCTTTTATATTCTCCCATACTACTTATATCTTTAATTTTTAGTGTACATACTTAAGATCTGCAATTTTTCCATATACATTTTTGTATGTACTCAAATGCATTACTGTGAATTATACCGCAATAATATTTACTATGGATCCTGTACAGTGTTCAGTTGAAGACCTAAACGTAACACAAGGACTGTGCGGTCTTCAATCTGATATCAAAGCTTGTATACTACACGTATATGCGGTCTATAACCAATATATATATATATATATATTTTACCTACATTGTATATTGCAGACTAAAACTAATTAATACACTATTCTATGGGAGTAATCCCCCTTCCCCCACCCTCACCATATTTTATATAATAACCTCTTAATTATGTAAATATCTAATTAGATATAAGTACATCATTGGCAGTAGAACTATAGACAATATGTAGAAGAAATATAATCAGAATTTTAGACCCTAATTACCTGCAATTTTTCTCTATACCAAAATATGCAGACACTAATTACCAAATATAATGGACACACAGATACATTATTACAAAATAAAATGTATGTTGATTAAATTTTTCATGTACCAGAAATTAAATCATCGAGCCAATTCGTACATATTCATATTGTATCCGTTACTAAATAGTTATGCTTATATCATATTATTTAATGAACAGTACTGTACATTTATTTTTGTAGTGACATATTGTCTAAAAAATAAAACAAATTTAAAAAAAGAGAAAAAAAAGGTTCTAACGCCAAATATGTTACCGATTTACAAACGTTAATTTTTGACATTAAGCAAAATCTTATTATTATAAAATCAATCCATTATGTCCATATACCTACCATCAATGGAGAGGACTTATATAGGCTATAAGCCTGTTGTTCAATCCTTTTGACAGTGTAACATTCTTCTATGTCAATAAAATATGTTGAAATCAAAAAAATAAAATAAATGTATATCTATCGGCGTCATGGAAATTCGTCATGTTCTTCAGGTATTAGTCAAGTTATGATGGGGAAAATTCTAGTTTACAGGAACACTGTTTATTGTGTGAATAACAGAGTAGACTGTTCATATTTATAAAACGTTAACAAGACACCAGATACATAATAATGTACATTGTATATCTGTATGTATATGTCCATTTCTTACATTTGTAATACCATTGTTTCCTTTCCAAGTCATTGAATAATTCGTCAATAATGTGATGAATCAATGTCTTATCAAACGAAAAAAAAGGTACCATTATCAGGGATAGAGCTTTTCAAAATTCCTATTACATGTATGACATCATAAATGCAATAGAGTACGTCAAAGTCAGGAGCACATAACACAATTATTTGTAAGAAGCAAGAAACACATCGAATCTATGTCTACCTCTAAAGAGACACATATCAATCGACAATTAACGCCTGGACCGTGCAACTATTGTAGCAGTAGCAAAAACTAAAATGCGAAGTGCAGGTTTTGAGAAGATGGACAATATAAAGAAACCAAACATACAGAAAAGATTGAATATTTACCTTTCCGATATCGAAGTTGCTTCGCTGACCTTGCGGTATATTCCAACAGGAAAGATGTTTGAATCATTTACTTTGCTTGACAATCCTCCAAATCCTTGCTCCGTTTTATTTTTATTCGAACCAACTTTTACAGTTGTAACCGAATCATTCATTTCCTCACCGGAAGTTGTGTCGTTCCCTGACGCTTTTGGTAATGGCAATGCATACATTTTAAAGTCGTTCGTCTTTGATAATTTTAACTGGTCACGAGAATCAGTAGAATCGTTAACTGGTGAATGTTTGCGTTCATTTTGCTCGTTTTGCGTATTTGAATCTAAGCTAGTATTATCAAATACCAATTCAGTGTTAATCACCATCCTTCACAAATGGTCCGTGTAGCTGATGTGTTAAGGAATAGGCGACACTACCCGGTAGCGTGTATCTATATATTTCTTGCATAACCCTTAACGACATGTCCCTGACATATCATATGTTAAGATTTAAATGCTCAAATGCTAGCTTACTATAAACATAATAGTATTATTATAATGCATGAACTGTGTGTGGTCAAGAGTTCACTAATTTGCATAACGACTAATGATAAACACGTGTTATCGACTCAATGTCAAGGCTATCCGATTGCCATAAAAGTCATAACAATGAATTTGCTATAAACAAAGAACCAAATTTCAAAAGCGACTGTAGCCTGTAATTGTAGAGCAATTTTGTTAAAGCCTGGAATCATTGGGAAGTGATCTTTCCTGGCGTTCGGATGAGCTTTAGTGTGCAGACATCGGTGTTATAACGCTTTGGTCACATCATTTTGAAATTAAACTATTTGTTTGGTAAACAGAAAGAAGTGACATGTATTTATTGGTTTCCCATCCTCTTCCTTGATGCTAAACCCCATAATTCTTGGTATCATTGCAAACTTATTTCAAACGGCTTCAAAAACGAAATAAATCCTCGGCGTGTATAATTCCCAGATGAATTAGCACGGAGCTACCCATTTGGCTCAGAAAACTGACGAATTTACTTTGAACAAGGACTAGCTGAATTTCGGTATATATATAACAACTATTGTACATACGATTCCCCCCCNTATGACATTCAATAATTTGATTAACAAAGAAAAAGAAAAAAATCCACTTATAGTTATTCTTCAGAACTTCGAAAAAGTCTTATAGTCCAGCAATCTAATTAAAATCCGATCTCTCATTACATAATGTAGTTTAATGAGATATCTGATTTTAATTAGATTGATAGTCCAGCATCTAATCTTCATTCCAAACTGGAGTATCAAGAGGTTTGAAGTGTTGTCAGAAGTGAAATCGAAAACACTGTTTGCATTAAGCGGACAACATGTTGCATGCATTCAGACTGTATCACTTATTATAAATGTATATATGAATCCAAACATTTACTTAATATATAGATATATGCAGATTTTTTAAATATATATTTAGATAACACCAAATATATTATAATCAATTCAACAGAACAGTATTCATTTATTGAACCCGCATATATTACACGAATTACAATGCGATTTCACGTATTCATTGCCGACAGATCCCCCTTACACTTAACGTACACAATCCGGCGCAGTAAACTGAGGACTCAGATAGTATCGGAATTGCTATATATACCGTTCCAAATTTACGTTTTATTATATTTTTTATTTTATTGTTTTAGCTAGATCTCACAAAGGTCAAACTTATGGATAATGTTAACACCAGCCGCTGAAAATATAAGTCGATCCCATCAATCACCAGACTGCAATAGTCCTATTTCCAACTAATTTGTGTGAAAAGTTGACGACATTGTTTGAACTGCCTTTTTTGCACGATTTTATAAAAAAAATATTGTTGAATCAGAATACAAATTCCACTTTTCCTTTCCAAGGTAGAATACTGGACCGTCTTTTTTGCACGATTTTATAAAAAAAATATTGTTTAATCAGAATATAAATTCCACTTTTCCTTTCCAAGGTAGAATACTGGACCGTCTCCTACTTCCTCTTCTGTTTTTCAGATATTCTTCAGGCCGAATAGAGACATTTGCGTTGTACTTCCGTATTGCTGCAGCCACAATATTCAAACATGACGCCACACCAAGACCAACAGCAGCAACATAAAAGGACAGCGTATAGGACCCTGTTGTGTCTCTGAGGTAACCTGAAACCATTAGGAATTCATTATCTAATAATAGGTTAAATAGAATTTTTGCTGAAAAAAATAAACTTGTATACAATACATAAAGTTTGTATTTTACAACAATTTTCTGTGGAGTTCTGATCTATTCAGATTATAAATAACGAAACTGATATTTTTTTTTCTAGACAGGAACTCTTTAACAATTTGAAAGGTGGTACGATTTACCTTGCAGCAAACAAAATATAGGTCAGGCCTTTTCTTAAGGCAAACGTAACTCTTTGCCATAGCGATACCGGAAGTCATTTGATGTCTGAACCATTATCCTTCTTTCAAACAGGACTGCATTGTGTGAAAACGACCAGCCGTTATATAGAAAGTTTCAGAATTTGAACTTCATAAAAAAAATAATCTTCCCCGACATTCGAAAAAGTTAATAATCATGTAACTGTAACTGTGTTTTTTAAACACAGAATAAATGGAAGATTTGTTTTTGATATTCAAATTGAAAAAGATATTTCGTATCTCAAATACTTATGTCAAATTTGAAAGCGGATGATAGTAAGAGGTGATGTATAGGCCAATCTTTTTCTACATTAACCCGTCAGGGCATAAGGCTATACACCGAAATGAGCCTTCATCTAGGTGTCACACGTATCCACGACGGGTCTGTGAGCGATGAAAGACGTACAAATAAAACGATCGTATATTTGCTCTCAACTTGAAAACATTACAACAGAACAGACTTTTCCAGATCAATTGATTGTAGAACAGGAACGTGTTTACGTAAAACAAACTGTTTTTAAAAAAGTGACGTTTGCTTATGTCCAACCATGGATTTCCCTTTTTTGATAGTTACAGCCCTGCTCTTTATGTCACAGTTGGTGGCGGAGGAGGGGAGAGGGATTGAGATGGAATGACCTTTATTTTTTTTAAATTGAACCTTTTGGTTTGTTTTTTTGTTAGATTTGTTTGTGCTGTTTTTTCATCTGATACTTCCTTGGTCTCATTTGCTATATTTTGTATTGAAAAAGAGTTGAAATTTCACCTTTGCGAATTATGTTTTGTGACATTTTTCTGTTTTATGTCAAAACGAATATAAAACAAATACAGTTCATTACTCCACAGAGTCAACATGCAAGGCAATATGAAGGAATCCAATATTAGTATGAAATCTCTTATTGATAGGTATATACTCAATGATAGGTACACCATAACCTAATTTCAGTTTAACTTATATACCTGCTATAGGTCCTCCACACGAGTTGCCAATCCCTACGCCGGAGATAGTAACACCAAGTCCGATGGAATAATTTTTCATACCCACAAGCTTCATTGTCGTTATGGAAATGACTGTGACAGTCCCACCAATCGAAATGCCTTTACACCCCATAAGGATCATATGGTGCTCAAAGGTAATAGCAAACGGAATAAACGCACAGGTAATGGTGCCGACAATTGTAAACAAAACAGGTATCACCATGATGCTAAGATGTGGTATTCTTTTCAAAAATCCAGGAACAAGTCTGAATATTGCGCTGAAAAAGGTCATCACGGCATAAAGAAATACTGCTGTTTGTGGATCGAAGCCCTTAAATTGAAGAAAATTAATGAGAAAAATAGATATAGAAGTCATGGTAGGAACGGATATCACCAAAGCCAACGTGTATATTACGTAAACCTTGTTTTGACACACTGTAACAAGCTTTGAACAAGTTCCGTCCTTCTTCTTAGAATAAAGCGCACTAACTGAAGATATTGCTGACACGGATATTGTTTCGCTAGCATTGGTGTCAGATTTGTTTAGTCCTGAAACATCGACAGTTCGTGGTTTACACACAGCGAAACAGGGAACCATGTTCAACGTTATTCCTCCGGCTATTAGCAAACATCCTCTTCAACCAAACTCTCTTGTCAGGAAGTCAAGAAGATAAGAATACGTTGTGGCTCCACACCCAGTTCCAAATGAAAGAAAGGAAAGGGCTTCTAATTTAGATTTCCCTTCGAAGTTTTCGCCCACACCTGTCATTGCCGAAATGTAGCAAGCAGACAAGCCAGCCCCTTTATTTAAGCAACAAATGAACAAAAAATATACTCTAATACTTGTTTTTTTGTCGATGCAATTTACAGTAAATTTGTTGCTATTTTTCTTATTATTTTCCTAATAAGGAACACATATCAAAATACAAATGCATAACAGTTTGTATGATCATATCAACCAGTTTTGGCTGCCACGCACAAAACGAATTTGATCAAGGAAAGGATATCTTCAAAATACATCGAAGCTCACCTGCGATAACACCAGTTGTAACGACCAGGTAGGGAAGGTCTGTAGCGAAAAAAGAAAGAACAAGACCTACGGCAGCTGCATGCGAACCACAAATCCCGACTTATCTCACTCCGTATTTACTCATAATGGCTCCAACTGGTAGACATGCAGCACGGAAAAACAGAAAGTGTTTTTGAAGCAGTCAAAACCCTCATCATGGTTAAAATAAGGGGACATTTTAGTGTTTGATTCAACTGGTTTTGATATCTAATCAATTTTCTGTCTTAATCCATTATCCAATTTCTATGGCAGACAACAATATAACAACACAGGACTTTGAGAGACAAAAGTTGATAAAGACAATAAGTTGAATTTACCTGTTCGATGTGGATATCCTCGATTATTAACGTGTCGTTTTTAAAACTTGACATTTGTTGGATTTGATCTATATTGATTCCACAAAATACGTCTAGTCCTCATAATCATCTTGGCTTATTGTAATTATTTGAGGACAATCCGAATACAGATTTCCTACATTCATATTTTACTCTTATTTTGTTCATTTTGAGTTCAGATTAAAGTTTTTTTATAAGCGTTACTCGGATAAAAATACACTGAAAACTTAAAATTTGTTTTAGCTGTTTAAGTTTCCTGGATTTCCTCTTTTCAAAATCGCATCTTGCAATGCATTTGACAGTGTTGTAGTTATTCGAAATATGAGTGTATGCAAATAGAAATACTAAAAGGAAACTTCAGTGGTCGAACTCTTCGCAATGCGTTGGTACTATTTACCTTAGGAATACCAGTACCGCTGCCAAAACCTAGTACCAAGTATTGGAAACAACGTTTTTTTTGCGTCATAAATCGTTTCTGTCAAGGGAACCATATCTTGCGGAAGTTTTATAAGAAATAAAAAAAAGATGAAACAAGCGAAATATTATCAACAAAAGTGTTCTGAGTATGGAAATTGCTAGACCGGCATTCGATCACTCGATTTCAGGTCAGAAAAACCATAGTGAAGTGAGACAGGGATCCTTAAATCAAAAGTATGTTTGTTTATATTTACAGTTTCACCAGAAAATGTACCTTAAATATATGTCGCTTTTGTCATGAGCACAGTGGTATCATATGGCAATACTTAAATAATATTGCCCTATCTAACAACAAAAAAACAAAAAAAATTGACCTACCTGCTACAAAAAAACATGCCAACAGTGACAGCTTGTACGAGGGAAGTCTCCGCGTTACTTTTACCGAACGCCTCCAGAAACGCTATGTGTAGTACGGCCATATTGCACGGAAATCCGGTGCAGATGAATAATGCCAAGAATGCCGCAGCCGAAATGACCCACTTTCTTTTACAATCGACTTTAACATTTCTCTCTGAATTTCTTTCGAGTGTTCTTTGGTTGTACCAAGAAGTAAACGAAATTTGCAGATAACACATTTATAGTTATAAGGTAAAATGACGAAGGGGAAAAGGGGGCGGGGGTATCCGCAATGTCTACATGTCTATGGTAATATTACTTCTCCGACTATGGATCATATTGAAAATAATCCTTGGAAATCCACTTCTGGCTTTTTTTTATATTTATTGACATAGTATGTCAAAGATCTCAAAACAAAATCTCATATATATTGTTGCAGATATATGTTCACAGTTGTTCTATCAACAACCCAAAGAAATGTGGGAGGGGGGGGGGGGGGGGGAAANACATTATGTTTTAAGACAGCCGATTCAATCAGTTAATATTCTTTGTTATCGAAGCTGAAAAAATAGAAAGTGATAACACTTCCTATTTTGAATCCTATAACTTTTTCAATTTTGTTAAATCTCGATTTAGATACTAAGTCTCTTTCTTTAGTTCGTCTTCAAAAATGTTATTGATAAAAAAATCAGTTTTGAAGAGATTAAAAGTAAATAGAATTCTTAACTATGTGATTATCATGGCTTCATACGCACGTGTTTACCTAATCGTTGCGAAATAGAAACAACGCATGCACCAGACTAAATAGCAAATCGTACGACAACTTTCCACAAAAATAAACAAATGTCTGCAGTCGTTTAAAACAATAGAATGAATTTTATTGCAATTGAAATGATGGCTTTATCACTAAAAATGAACATTATAGAACTGAATTTTAACAATACCTTTCCAATATTAGCGACGCTTCACTGATCCTGCGATACGCTCCTGTACGGAAGGGATCGCTGTCTTTCACATTGATTGGTATTTCTCCGCAGGCTTGTTCATCTTCTGTTTTCCCGTTATACGTTTTACCTGTTTTCTGCTTGAGATCCGTTTCAACGTCTAGTTGAGTTAATTCTCGTCGTTGATTGTTGTTTATGATCGTCAATTCTACTTGATGGTTCGTAACTGATACTTCATCAGTGATTCCTAAATCATTTCCGCTGTTGATAGTAGGCTTGTGACTTCCATGGTTACTGAGATTCGATGAAATTACCATTATATTAAAACTGGTTGATTAACCTAAATAGAAATATTTAAACACAAATTGCATGTTTTCCATATAATGTTCCTGATATCTAAACATCTAAAATACATTTTCAAAACATTCAACGATTTGTAACCCAATTAAAATAAAACCCAATCACTATTGATAATAATTATACTGCAGAAATTTGATAAAGGTGATTCAATACAGCAACTAATCTTCAAACAAACCTCGAACACCTTAGGATGGTTTACCTGTAGTCAAGATGTAAACGCTGTTTGTCTTAAACAGACAACATCTGCATTCAAATTGTCTGTAATTCTAATTCCGTATGCATGCGTGGATCAATATTATCATTTGATATAAAGATATATGTGAACTGAACAGTTATAGTAACGTTATAAATTCAGTTTGAATACATCGTACAATATAATCAAAGATATAGCATAGTAATTATATTATACATCAGTTAAAGATAGTTTCATCTGTTGAACCTCCAGATGTCACATGTATGGCAATGCCAAGACACATAATGATGAGGCTATTTGGAATAATGTCACACTATCAAATTCGTCTTCTATTGTTGGCACTGCTTACAGACCTAGACATTCTGCTTTACCTTTTCGGAAAAACCTACATAAGTCTAAAAACAATGCTCTAGATATCTCACCAACTAGTATTATTTTAAAGTCGACATGTTAACTACATATACATGTACTGTGCAAGTTCTGCTTGCAATCTTTTAGTATAATCAATGTCAGAAATGGAACTACACGTACGGGACAGACTAGCTTCAGTCTACTCGACCCTATTCCTTTTTCAACTCGAATTATTTTTCTGTACTGCTTCTTGTGATACCAGTTGATAACTAGTTTGGTGACCATGCTAAATGCATTTCTGATACTCAAGTTCCATGTCTTTTTATAAGCGTAAAATTTGGCAGTTTCAGAAGGCATACTTTCAAATGTTTAATAATCCTCTTCTTAAATTTGCATATGAACGTTTTACTGCTGTTTTCTTTTTCTCAATGGACACATACAGCTTCGTAAGTATTCAATATAAAGTTCGTTGCCCTATTTCGTCAGCAAACCCATATTGACACAGAGCATTACGACAGGGGATTCGTTCAAATATTGCATGATGAAAACTTTTCTTGTGTTAACAATTGCTTTCTGATATTTTAAAGGTACTCCAGGGATACCAGTGGCTGACATCAAATACATCACGCATATGTTAATTGCGTGAAAACGTAGGCCTGTTTTCATGTGTATATTTGTTTAATTGTTTCTTTCATATTATATATTATTTCTTTTACAGATTGGTGTAACAGTGAAGATCCGTACTAATGGAAAATAAGCATCATAATAGCACGCGCTTTATTACATATTAGTGTATGTAATCATTCATTCAGACCGACAAAAAACATATATATGTTATATATCAGTAAAGCATAAGAGAAGCCCATATGGGTTGTGTTAATTAAACAGATGTTTGCGTTCTTTTATTTTGTCTGTGCAGAATTTTGGAAAAGGAGGGACATGTATTCACTACAGCGGCAAGATAGAATGACTTTAAACCAGTCAGCAATGGACACATACAGCTTCGTAAGTATTCAATATAAAGTTCGTTGCCCTATTTCGTCAGCAAACCCATATTGACACAGAGCATTACGACAGGGGATTTTCAGCGTTAGTAGCATTGTCTAAAAGGAGAAATAGCTGTAACTCTTTGAAATACTCCTACTAAAGTACGAATGGAAAGGTGGTTTAACCAAAGGATCTCAAAATTGCATGAAAAAAAATTGGCCCTTGTGGATGGGGCAAAAATGGAAACAAGGAAAACGTCTTTACAATGCGTCTTTTTAACAATTGATTAAATTGAAATCAGGACAAGAGCATTTCGACCTTTTCAAAAAGTTTAATCAACTACATGCAGTGTTAAGAGCTAGAACAAATTGTCATCTTATGACTAATTGTAATGTTTAAGCTCCTTTGAAATCAAAGATAGTCCTTATTTATATAATGGCTCCCAATAATTTTCATCCGGTTGGATGTAAATATCTTTTCCACCTTTTTATTAATACATATCCCGTGCATATACAGTATATGTGTCTTTTGACCAAGTAAACAGAGCGCTCATGTCAATAACGAATGTTGGGAAGATGTCAAATGCTTTAATTCCTGTATTTAATATTGCCTTACCTTTTTTCTGAAAAGGCGTGGATGACTTTTCAGGAAATGTTTATTTAATGTTAATTCATATCGATTATTACCATGGTAGTCATCTCGTCATCCTCTTAACAAAGCCTGATTAGTCTTAATGGTGAGCTGGTGTTTCTTTGATCATAGTTCTCATTTTCTCCATTTTCCTAATCTCGCTTGATCTTTTTTTTTGTTTTCATGCTTGTTCTGTTTTTCAAAATTTGAGGGGGAACTAATGATTCAAGTGAATAAAAGAAAGTCACAATCTAAACAAAAAGATACCAGGACACATTATGTTAAAACAATCTACACAAACAGACATTAGGATCGGGGAGACACCGAAACAAAAGGAAAGAGGGATTCAAATGTAATGTTGAACTATAATTTAAACAAGGAAAATGTCTTCAATCAAATATGTCTCCAATATGTTTCTGTGACATCAATGTTGTTCCAGGCTGGTTATGGGCGTCCTTGTAAAACAACATGGTTTTGACGCAAAAGGAAAATGACGGAACTCCGTGTACTTCGTGTACTGCCTAGAATGTCCCTGACCTACAGTATATGATCTGCAGCAGAGCCTGTTTGTCCCAAATGTATTTGGTAAGTAACAAGTATTTTAAAACAAAACGAACACCAAACAGTAAGTTAAATAAATGCATAATTAAATAAAGCCACAGGTGTCAGTCATAACTAACACAGATATATGCCAAGTTCGGTATTTTAAACGATACATGTTAATTAAATGTACATGTATACACACGATGATTAATTTTGAATACTACAAATTCATCAAAGTATAATACTGTGTACCGGGAAATTTTCGCCCAGTCAAGTTTTCGTCCTTCGCCCATGAGACACATTTTCGCCCAGCGTTAATTTCGCCCTTCACATGCTACTATTATGTATACTATTTTGTATACTTATTTTCACTGTCGTTATAAATTCGCCCTTACTACGTAGTGTGACAAAGGCGAAAAATAAACTACGGCGAAAATATCCCGGTATATGGACATTTATGTGTGTACCTCTATTATTTTCATCATTGATATATTATTTTTAATACCTCCATGTATAACTGCTCCCAATGAGAACTACATAACAAATAAGGACTAAGTTTGCATGATTTGTGAAGCATTTATTTCATAAGAATAAAGGCATCTACATTTGTCAACATTAAACAAAGGAATTTATATCTTGAACATAACTAAGCCATTCAGCTTAACATCCATACTTTGTAAATCCTTACCTCAAGACTCATAAATACAGTTTCACAAATGACACACACACTGTCCCTGTGAGACAGAAGTTGACATAAACACTGTCCCCGAGAGACAGGACTTTACATAAACACTGTCCCTGAGAGACAGAAGTTGACATAAACATTGTCCCTGAGAGACAGGAGTCGACACAAACACTGTCCCTGTGAGACAGAAGTTGACATCAACATTGTCCCTGAGAGACAGGAGTCGACATAAACATTGTCCCTGAAAGACAGGAGTCGACATAAACACTGTCCCTGAGAGACAGGAGTTGACATAAACACTGTCTCTGAGAGACAGGACTTTACATAACCACTGTCCCTGAGAGACAGGAGCTGACATAAACACTGTACCTGTGAGACAGGAGTTGACATAAACATTGTTCCTGAGAGACAGGAGTCGACATAAACATTCTCCCTGAAAGACAGGAGTCGACATAACCACTGTCCCTGAGAGACAGGACGTTACATAAACACTGTCCCTGAGACACCCGAGTTGACATAAACACTGTCCCTGTGAGACAGAAGTTGACATCAACATTGTCCCTGAGAGACAGGAGTTGACATAGACACTGTCCCTGTGAGACAGAAGTTGACATAAACATTGTCCCTGAGAGACAGGAGTCGACATAAACATTGTCCCTGAAAGACAGGAGTCGACATAAACACTGTCCCTGAGAGACAGGAGTTGACATCAACACTGTCCCTGAGAGACAGGACTTTACATAAACACTGTCCCTGAGAGACAGGAGTTGACATAAACACTGTCCCTGCGAGACAGAAGTTGACATAAGCACTGTCCCTGCGAGACAGAAGTTGACATAAGCACTGTCCTTGAGAGAAAGGTTTTAACGTAAACATTGTCCTAGAGAGAAGGCTTTGACATAAACCCGAGGGAAGCAGCCGATGGTTTGAAAGTCAAAAATCTCCTACTGAGACGGAGATTCCACTTTCTTACCCTCAAGACAGAAAATGGTGTGTTTTCTCTCTCTGTATTTATTTTTATCAAAATCACTGTAAATCATAAGAATAACAACTAGGACAAGATTTTTTTGCAAAGTCAACGAGTAACTTTCGTGATCTGCAATCCTCGTCATTACTACAAGGTAAGACAGAAAAAGCTTTTCTTGACGGAAACTGTCAATATCTTAGGAAGAAAACATTGCTAGGAAAGTATTAGGTCGCCAATGATCTATTTAAGACAAACTGAACACATAAGAATCATTTATGAAGATTTTTTAAAACCAATAGTTGTTTCCATATGTAGAAAAAAC